GACACAATTTGTGTGTGTGTGTGTGTGTGTGTGTGTGTGTGTATACAGTCAAACCAAAATGTATTCACACACCATTATAACATTTCTCACATTATCACAGTTTATTCACTATAGTTTAGAAAATGGTAATAAAAGATGACAAGAGCTTAGAGTTAAACTGTGTCAGAACAAATTAATCTTGCTAATGTCAGATAACTTCAATAGAAAGTTATGTAATGAATTAGGTTGAATAGCTGTCAGCTGTTAAATTTAAGTACACAATTATATAATACCAATTACCAAGCAATGCTTCATTCAATGAAAGAAAAACACTTAAGCAAAACATGGTCAGTTCAAAGTGTCTGAATAATTTTTGGTCCCAAATTTTTATCAATTTTACTGATAGTCCACTGTATGAAGACTTTTTGGGTATAATATGTCACAGTTTACTTTATTTTGCTATCCTCACTTGCATAACTGAACTATAGCGTCCTGCACCCACTAGTAAAAATGATATCTGGTGTCTGAATAATTTTTGGTTTGACTGTATTTTTTAAATAGGCATTTTAAACAAAAGTCATAATTATACAGAGAGACAAATTTATGTATTATTATTATTAAGCAGTTGAATATATCCAAATATCAAAAATTATATCTGGTGTCTGAATAATTTCTGGTTTGACGGTATGTACAAAATTATATAGCATATTTTGTATTCACAGAAAAAAAAAGCAGGACTCTTTTGTTAGGGTTATGGTGTGGGTCATGTTAAAGTTATATAATGTTTAACTATATGTAAAAACAATAGAAGTCCATGCATTGTCCTCATTTAGATAGCTAAGTAAATGTGTGTGTGCGCATTTGTACATATGTATTAGATATGTTATTCAGTAAGGACTCATTAAATTGATCAAAAGTAAATACATTTATGTTTAAAAAAGATTTCTTTTTCAAATACAATGCTGTTCTTTTGAACTTTAATTGTCAAAGAATTCAGAAAAAAAAAAAAAAATGATGTTAAGAAATATTTCTCGAGCAGCAAATAGAAGAATGTTTCTACCTTTGTTCCCTATGCAACTAAACTTTTTAAACTATTTAAAGATGTTTTATAAAATCTGTGTGAAAGTTCAAAGATTGTTTGCCATTCTTCCAGCACCTCTGAGGACGTCTTGTATGTTTTGAGAAGCAGCGCAGCCCGTGTTTCCAGGAACGTCCACAGCTTGATTTCGTTCTCCCAGCTGACAGGGAATTCAGTGTTGCCCAGGGTGAAGATCTTGTTGATGGCGTGATCGCCCACCAGGTAGTCCCTGAGTTCCTCTGCAATCAGAAACGCACACCTCTCTGGTTAAGGGAGTAATCTGCCGTGCTACTGAGCCAGCAGGTCTGATCTGCGGCGATTATGTAAGGTATGATTACACGGCTGCTAACGAGATGAAAGGGCTTGCCGAACGAGTGCTTTGCTCGTGCACACCGCTGAATCCTGTCACACTAGTAAAATAGAAGCCCCCACCCAGCACAGGGGCTTCGCTTAGTTTAAAAATTAACATAAAAATTCTGAATAATGTATCAGCTCAGACTTAAGAGGTCTTGCCAGAGGACATGGCCTTGCTTTATGGGATTTATAACAAAAACTTCTCCTACATAGATGCTTATTAATATTTCACTGACTCTGGATCAGTCCTTCCACACATCTGCCACACTGTCTTGATCAATTAGACACCCGATGGACACTTGTTTAGGCTTTGTTGTCCTGACTAGTTTAATGTAAGAATGTGATATGAAATACGGCATCTCATTTCCTGTTTTATGGCCCACAGGTACCTTAGTGCCAGACGTGAAGGCATCGGGACAAACAAAGATTCTTACCTTCAGTCATGCAGAAGACACGCAGGAAGGCCAGGAGCTGAGCCGATATGGGCGGCTCGCTGCAGTGCAGGGCAAAGATACTGGACCTGAGGAGCAGAAGAACCGGAGAGGGTTCAAAGCAGGGTGTTACTTCAACTGACTCCCCCCCGCCCCCCACCTCTCTCAAATTAAACCCCAATTAACTCCAGCGGAACCGGCAGGTGCTAATGGAAGCCTCCTGCCTGCACGAGACCACGGCGCTGCTCCCCGTCGCATGACAACTGATTGATCTGAAGCGATGAGAGGCCACTGAACTTGATGCATTTTTAAAAACACACTCAATCATTTATAATTTACCGTTTAATTACTGGAGCATATCTATGGCCTCTTCCTGTCTGACTTACAGTGGGATGAAAAGGAGCATCTCGGCTATGACCTGAATCAAAGGGTAATTTCATACGGGCCTGTGTGGATTTTGTTTTGGAGACTTAAAGGATATTGATCTGTGTGACAGAAAATTCACTGATTGTATTATGCCACAAAAGTAGAGGTTTTACAGCACTGTAATTCTGTTACACCTGGATGATGATTCCTGCAGCAGTATGACTCTACAGGGGGGATTGAAAGGGATGTTAACATGAGAAAACCTTACACATTGAAGATTACAGCTACAGAAAAAAAAAAGAAAAAAAAAAGTGTATGGGGAAAAAAATTACATGTAAACTCCCCTCCAGAATTACTGCCACCCTCTAGAAAAATACACCTAAATAATACTAAATAAATAAATAAAATCGATGTCATCTATCAATTAATGATAATACTAAAAATAGTTATCATTATTTCTTTTTTTTTAATCATATAGCAGTTCTCCAAGTAAAGTTATTAGCAATTTTTGTCTTTAAGTGGCTATTCAAACTTCCTATTCACTTAGTTATAATCATATGATGACACTTTTTCATGGCTCATCTAAAGCAAATAATTCTTGAGGGCATTGTAGCTCAAGTAGTGCTATGAAGAGCGGCTCATTGTCAGAATTATTATCAGCAAAAAATAAAGAGTATGAGGTACAATTATGAGGTCTAATGGGTTTTCATGGAATTAAAACTAGACTGAACACTACCGAAATAATGAAAAAAAAAAGAAAAGAAAAGCTACAAAAGAAAAACAAACATCTGACTCAACGTGCATCATGTGGTTTGTCATTCCTGTACAGGATACTCACGCAGGAATCCCAGCACGAGCCAGAACCTCGGCCTTCATGGCATACAAACGTTCGCTCTTGCTCACACCCAGCTTAATCTTCACGCGGTCGTGTGCGTTGTCCTCAAAGAAGAAACCATTGTGGATCACAAACTCTGCATTGGATCTTGTACCATAGAATATGTAGATCTGAGGGGAGAGAAACCGGAAAACTTTTGGCATAACTACGACACATTACTACAGTAACGCATAAATGAGTATAAGCACTGCCCTTCATTTCATGGACTCATGGACGCACAGGTCTATGGGAACGGATGTGATATTAACCAGTGGCAATTTAGCCCTGAAAACTTCCTTCCCATACTACTGTCCTTTCAAACATCGCTCACGTCTTCCGCTCAACAGTACATCCCCAACACTTACAGATAGTGCTGTGCAAAGAGAGTGTGAAAGAGAGAGATAAAACATAGTGCTGGAGAGAAAGAGAGGGGGCGAGAAAAGCACAGTTCAATTCTGTTCTCAGCCTCTCCACATTGAGTTCCGGCCCAGTGTGAAATCAGCAGCAGGA